AGAAGTGGGTCTGTCTCAGGAGTCTGAAATTGTTCAGTTCTTATGGAGACGTCCCTAAGAGAAATCTGTGTGGCATTCACCCAGGTACACATTGTCGGTGCCTGGGCTTATGTCTCAATGTTACCAGGTCAGCATAAGGCCTGAGAGTTGGACACCCTGGCCTAAGGAAGACTGGCCATGTTGTGTGCACCAGTGTACCTCCTTGTCAGTGTAATTAGTGCCCACATGTCAGTCACAGAAACAGGGGTTGGGGGGAAGCTCCGAGGTTTGGGTGGAGTTTAACTTCACAGGCTCCTACACAGGACCTCAGGTTTTTCCATCTTGTGCATGACGGACTTGAAGAGGTGATGGAGATAGCAGTATCCACCTTCCTAATGTTGAGCAGCTCCCAGGAGAGAGATTTATTCATCTCAACTGCAGATCACTGTGTCTGAGTCTGGGCAGTGATGAGATGGCATTCGGGTTGGCAAGGGTCTTTTTACCTTCTGAACTACCCCAACAGTCCAACTGTGGTTTTCAGTTGTTTGAATTTAGAATACAAATACCAAGTCTGTAAAGAATTTAATTGCATGGGACTCAGGACATAATGTAGGACTGTTTCTCACTTCATCAGGCATGCACCCAAGTGCTTATTTAGGGTTTAGTGAATAAATCATCGAATAAATGAAGTCATCTCCAGTCCAGAAAGAAAAAGATAAGTTTCCTTGAAAAGCCACTTCTTTTTCCCTTCAGGGTTCCTGCTGGGGAAGGAGCATCAGGGACAGGCATCTGCCCCTCTGCTGCCAACCACACCTGCCTCTGCACTGTCCCCTCCTGCTTCCACCACGTTGGCCAGCAGCACCCATGCCAAGACAGGCAGCAAGGACAGCAGCACACAGACGGACAAGAGCACTGAGCTCTTCTGGCCCAGCATGGCTTCCCTCTCCAGCAGAGGCAGGCTGAGCACTGCCCCATCCAACAGCCCCATTCTGAAACATCCAGCTGCCAAAGGGACCATGGAGAAACTGGGTATGTGGCCCCTACGTCTACCATGCTTGGAGACCCCATGAGACTGTGTGACTTGAGGCGGGGAATCTAGTGCAGAGCTGTAGAGAGATCAGGAAGCCCAGTCTGTTCCTGTGTTTCAGTAGTGATCATCACAGTTACTTTCAGACTGGGGGTGCTCTTTGTTGCCATGGGACTAAAGTGTGGCCAGATAAGCTTAATTCATTATTGAAGAAGGGGAGCACCCAGCCCGAGTGACTTGGTGACATGTGTGTTCTACCCTTCCCTAGGGGGAGGTAGAACAAACACTTGGTAGAAGTAACTGAGGAGGGATTTACTGTGGGCTCATGGTTTGAGGGGACAGTCCATCATGGTAGATACAGCATGGTAGGACTGTGAAGTGTGAGCCTGCTCATTCACATCTAGGCAGACAGGAGACAGGAATTTGGGTCTTTGTCAGCTTTCTCCTTTTTTAATTTTTACTCAGTCTAGAACCCTAAGACACTGTCTTCTCTGAGAGCCACCCACCAGTCCCTCTACATCTCCCACTGCGATATTCTCAGGCTCCCATGAGCACACCAAGATGCATGAGACTCTTGGGCAGGCCAGGACATTAAAAATGCTTCTATGATAGAGAGTGCATGGAAAACCCAGGCACAAGGTTGCTGATGTTTGCCCTCTGTTTGGCAGAGAACTCTCCTGGTCATGGGAAGTCGGCAGACCACAGAAGCCGCGTGAGCAGCTTGTTGCACAAGCCCGAGTTCCCGGATGGGGAGATGATGGAAGTGCTCATCTAGCCTCGTCCTGTGGATTTTCACACCAACATGCTGACAAGAAAAGGGGTTGGAAGAAGGTCTAGATGGTAGCAACTACAAAGCCAGAGCAGGTGTGGACGCTTCATAATGTTACCAAAACAGCCGGCTCACAGGACTGCAGAGGGAGGGAGAGAAGATGTATACAGACTTGGAAGCAGAGTTGAGAATAGGAGGGATTGTCCATTGTAGAGAAATAGTATGTCTGGGGAGGCCCCATACTTCCCCTATTCTTGGTTTATAAACAGATGAAGAAGAGCTGGGCCTTCCTTGGAATCACCCCATTCCCTTTGCCTCTTAGCAGGTTTGGTTTAAGAAGAATCTGCTAGAAATCCTCAAAACCTATCTTGGCATAATATAGTATTTCTGTGCCATCGTGGGGTTGTGCATGAACTGGTGTGTGTGTGTGTGTGTGTCTGTGTGTGTACCCACACACCTGCCCTTCCAAGATACATCCAGGGTAATGGGGAATTCCACAGGCAAGCTTTGTCACCTACTTGGCTGTTTGGTTTGTCTCAGTGTGAAGCTTTGCTTGTCTGGATTGAGTGGTATTTTCTGACAGAATGGGAGTGTGGTGAGTGTATTCTTTACCCACCCTAAGCTCCTGGAGCTGTCTCTGCTCTAGTTACTTTATTTTGTTGTTGTATTTTTTTTTTCTGTTTACTGAGACATAGGAACTTAGGAGCTGCCATCTTTGCTGTGTGTCCAGTGAGAGGAGAGCCTCATGCTGGCACCCTGGCTGCACCCACCCCTTGCTTAGCTGAACTGCAGCTGTCAATTTCACTGTGAGCCAGAGAAATCTGGATGAGGAGCAGGAGTCTGTGAGTCACTGATTTGATTTTCACTCCCATCCACTCTCTCACGAGGAACTTAACAATTACACCCCCATTGCCCTGTTAGGAAGACTTCAGTATAAACAGGTGCTGCAGGTAATCAATGGTGGTTTACACACAGCTCTCCAGGTAGCATCCAAGATCTCACCAGGCCTCCTGGGCCACTTCCATATTTGAGGCTTTTGGGTTTTTTCATTGTTCTTCCCTGTCCCATCCTACCCTGGTTGCTGTTGGTAAGCAGGAAAGCTTCCCCGATCACTTTTTCTTTCCTGTGAACTTGCTTTGTAACCCAAGATTGGTAGATACACAGTGTGACCAGTGTCTCACAAGGCATATAGCTTACCCAAAGTGAGGCAGCAATGTCCTGGCAGTGAACTACCTTGAGCAAGGGGCAGGGCTGTGAGGCTGCTGCCACAGCAAGGTCTCATGTACCTTGCTGTGGACACTGGCTTCCTACAGAGCACAGGAGAAGCTGTCCAGGCCCTTCAGGCTCCTGAACTATCCCCAGCTCAGTAGGATTTGTTTTCCAAGTCCCTTTCCACATTACCACCTGTCCCTCAAGGGAAAAAAGAAAAGGAGTAAGTCTGCAACTTTTTAGAGTCCCTCTTAAATATAACACTGAAGATGGCGCTGCTTGGGGACCTCTACTAGAGTCACTTGTTCTAGGACTTGTCCCCAAGGTAAATCCTGGGTGAAATTTCAGCCTCCCAAGTTGAGGTGGTCCATGGATTGTAAGAGGGGTAGCCTGGAGACCAGAACAGAAGAGAAAAGAGAGAAGAGGAGAGGAGAGGAGAGGAGGAGCGGAGAGGAGAGGGCCATCTGACAGGGTGATGGGACTGGCCTCCCCAAGCTCCACTTGGCAGTGGGCACTGGGCTTGGAGATCCCACAGGCTCCTTACCTTTTCTCACATCTGGCAGCCTGAGTACTGAGCTTGCCCTGTGTCCTGTGGGGGAGGGGTGAGAAGACAGCATAGGAGATCTTGCCAGCTGAGAAGGGCTGGAGGATGGATGCAGGAGGGGTGGGGACCATTTTTGATAGATCATGGAGTTCAGTTGATGGCAACTAACTCTCTTAAGAGCATATTGTCTTCAATTAATGTTGGGGACAAACCAGAGAGGAAAGTGTATAGAGGTGGGAAATTAGTGAGGTCTTCCAGCCCTGTGCCATGTTTGAGTCCTCCCCCCCACCCCCAAACTTAGGCTGTCTTCCAACATAGGGGTAAAGCACTGCCCAGTTTACTCAAAGTCTAGTCTGCATGTCCCAGACACATTGAACACTTGGGTGGAAGGTCCCCTGCTCCAGCCCTCCTGCACTGCCAGCATTTCAGTTGTCAAAACACAAAGGGGACGTGGACAGTTACGCAGCTTTAACTAAATGTGTACTGTGGCTTCTGTCCAAGACTCCATGTTGAGAACAAGGCTATGGCTTTAAGGCTAAGGCCCTCAATCTTCCCTCATGTAATTCTCTTGAAACATACAGGGCAAAGGGGCTATAGCAGTCAGCAGCCATTCTGAGCTCTGTGAGCTCACAGGATCTGCTCTTGACTGACAAGGAGAACAAGAGCACTACAAGAGTATTTTAGTATTGACGGCGTGCAAGAACTAAAGTTGCACACACAGATGCAGACACTGAACCCAAAGCTAATGCTAGAACTCACAGACTCAGAAGAGGTGTCTCAGCCACAGGCTACACAGCCTTGAACATGATGTGCAGAGCTGTGTCTGGTGCTCTATGGCCCCATTTGTGATACTTGTGTGCATACAGGGAAGCTGTCACACCTCTTGGGGCCTGAGAACAGGACTAAACCCAAACCTGTCACTACCAAACCACTACTACATCCTCAGTTGGGGATGGAAGTCTTCATGTTCTGTTAAAGGCACAACTACAAAGCAGATTTTAAAAAACAAAACAAAACAAAAACAAACTTCCTCACAGAGCAGAGGTCTAGTCTTCAGGACTCCCAGGGCATTTGCTCATAGAACCTGAGGCTCTTGTGTCAGGGTATAGGGTAAAGGCAGTGGCTTTCAGTGATGACTTCACCAGCATCCCACTTTGTCCTTGAGTGGGCCGTGCAGTGATGTCTGTGTGCCTCCAGGTATCACATGAGAGGTGTTGGTCAGGTCTCTGCCACTGTGGTTTCATTAAGTAGAGTCTCTGTGTAAGAACTCTTCCTGTCTGGAGGTTCATAGCTCAAAGCTGCCAGGAAAAACACATTAATTTCCAAAGAATTAAGTGTGTGTGCTGAACATGTGACATTGTTCTTTCTGTGTCCCAGAAGCTGGTGGCCAACAACTGTAGAGTGTCCAGCATGTCCCTGCTGTGCCTCCAGAGTGGGGCTTCCCTGATCTACCCCCAGCTTTCCTTGAGGGTGGGGACAAGGATTGGTGGGACAGGTCTTGTTCAGTCCTGCAAAGGTCTCTCTTTGGACCTTTGCTTTGAGTGGATTTCAAGAAAGTTGCTCCAAGTGAGTTCTGGCCTCAGAACAGAGAATGCAGTGGTTCTACACCTAGAAAAGAAGCTCTGGTGTCCCCTGCAGAGAGGCAAGATGTGTGTCCTGTTGGCTCTCTCATGCTGGGTGTCAGCCACCTGCACATACTAAACATAGTGGCTGAAACCCCTCCTCCCACAAGCTGGTGAGCTGAGTCCTCCCCTCCTTGTAACCTGCGAGTCCCAGAGACTTATGTGAGCAGTCAGATAAGGCTAAGTCCCAGAGACAAAGAAGATGATAGTGATACATAAGGGGTTTCTGGGCAGGCCACTCGTGTAGGCTGCAGAGCTGTGCTGTGTGGGAGGGTGTGTGCTCCAAGTGCAGGGCCTCTTCCTGTGGCACTGCAGTGAGTGCTGCGTTTCTCTGCGTTCTCCCGTGATCACATGCCCCTTTAAGCAAAGGAGTCTTGTGGATATTGGAAGCAAGATCTGACAAATGTTCTTAAATGGTGAAGCCAGAAAAAAAAAAAAAAAACCAGTAACTTCCCTAAAAGCTGAGTCAGCCAGTCTCTAAGTATAAATGTTGGCTTTCTTCTACTCTTTCTAATTAATTAACGTGTTCCAAATGTCTCTAGTTGATATGAGGATTGTTTAAGGCATTTGCTTGTTGGGTGGCTCCCTGGGAGATGGTCTGTGTAATAATAACCTCAGAAGCCAACCAATCAGCCAGTAATAGTTTTCCTCTTTTCAGTAGTATAGCCCTTTCTTGTTTAATAATTTAATGGTATATTACAATGTGTATATGTAAGTGCATAGATGAGTGGAATTTCTTACTATCCAGAAGATCCTACTGTTTGCCATGAGCTTTCTGCTTGGGAGGACCACAGAGGTCCCCAGCTAAATCTGTTGTTGACTCCTGCAGCAGAATGGCCTCCAGGGTCTGGCACATTCCTCTGATTCCCCGGGAGGTGAGAGGTCCTTGTCTATTGAAGATGGATTTAAGTTGGGGAATAATCCCAAATTGTTCACATCGAAAGTGGATGAACACAGAAGGTAATTAATCAGAATAAGAGTCCCAGGACCATTAAGATGCCTCAGTGGAAAAGGCATTGCCACCAAAGCCAAGACCTGAGTTTGATCCTCAGGACTCACATGGTAGGAGGAGGGATCCAGCTCCTGCAAATGGTCCTTTGACCTACACACACACACACACACACACACACACACACACACACACACGCATGCACGCACGCACGCGCCCAGACACATACACACATGCACACATTCTTTTTAGAAGAGTATCTAAGACATGTTGGAAAAGTTATTAGTACATGTGACCTCTGGGGCCTCATTTTCAAGCCCATTTCTCTTGCCAGGCCTCATATGCTTTCACCCTCTGCATATGCTATAGACCTAAGTACATATTCATTGTGTGAACACCCAGTAGGTACTCTGTAAAACGGAACTATACTTACGTGCATGTTGTTGCCCTGTATGTAGTGACTGAGGTGTGTCCTCTGCCCTCCCTCCAAGGTAGTGCGTATACAGCAGTTTCTAGACTCAGCTTCTCCAGTTTTACTGCCTGTGTTGTGTTTGCTCGTGACTTTGCCTGGGAGTCTGCTCTCACGTACATACCTGTGAGTATTTATTGCAAAGCAGGACAGAGACAGGCTTAGCCACAGTACTGGTATTTGAATGTTTTCTAGGAGGGACGGTGGTGCCTTCTCCTCAGTGAGGCACTGACAGACTCTGTCAAATTCTGTGAAACAGGGCCAGCACTGGCCCAGCTTCAGCCTGACTGAGTGCCCTGGGGCCACTGCCCTTTCCACTTGCCTTGTGTGTGTGTGGTTGTGGTTGTGTGTGTGTGTGTCCCTTTGCTGGGGGTATGTGCTGCACTGCCCAGCATGCTCTGGCATCCATGTGTAATCTTTGGCATCTTGGTGTCACTGCGCTGTATTGAGAGGTGGTGTACAGATCTGTACAGATGAGTGTGCGGGGAGGGGGAGTCCTGCACAGTGAATGTGAATACAGTTGGTCAGCCAAAGATTTTCCTGTCCTTTGCTGCTTAAACTTTGTGCCTTAATATTGTAAATAATAAATGGGTCAACAGCAAAGTGGCTCTTCTTTCCCCTCCTTGTACTGCTTTTCTCCAGAGGATGTAAATGAAGCACAGATGTCTCATGCTGACACCGTGCACATGGGAACACCTCTTGGTGCTAACCCCAAAGCCTTACGGCTGCCTCAGGGGCCCTCAGCCCACACAGACACAGGCTCTTGAAGGAGGCATTGAATCATGGCACCACGGCTGGAGTTCACAGGGAAGAAGTATGGGAGGCTAGGCTGGGGGTGGGGGTGTCCTCTCTGCGCACATACAGACATCCTCTTTAGAACTCATGGATGCTGGCCTGTGACTGTGGGAAACAGCTCAGCATCGGGGATTCACCCAAGAAGCCTGGATGCCAGAGAGCAGACCACAGTTAGACATGCTCTGTGCCTCAAGATGCACAAAGAAGATGGTAGCTGCTTTGACACAAGAGAATTGGTGGGGTGGGGGTGGGGGGGCTGAGAGCAGTGAGTCACGTGATAAACTAGAATTCTGACAAGGAGCCTCAGTGCCTAACTCTGAACAGAATAAATCCCACAAGAGGCTACACGGCAGGCAAAGGCTCTTCTGGTGGGATTGATGCCCAGAAAGCCATGAACTGAGAAAGGGCCATGCCCTCTGTTTATCTCTGGCCATGTCTCCTGGAGTAGAGTTCTGTCTCCATCCCAGGTCCCAGCATGGGAGGGGATATAGGAGGCAGTTCCCAACCCCTACAAACATGTGTGGTCCCCTTCAATTCTCACAGACAGTAGTCATTGTCTGTCTGTAAAGACCAGGAAACTAAGGCTCAAACAAAAGCAAAAGGTAACAGGGCAGAGATTTCCACTCTGGTCTTCTGACACAGGTGGCAAACTTGCTTACAAACCACATGTGTACCCCTAAAGGCACAGAGCTCAAGCCACTGTCTGTAGGGAGACACCCTAGCCCCGCCCCATGGCAACTCCGTATTGGTAATTTCCCACTATAACTGTCTGCCTTGCTTCTTGTATATCCCATCTTCTACCCAGATATATGCTGTGAGAAACTGTTTCTTTTCAGGGGTAATCTTCACATACTTATTAGGAATTTAGTCACATAAATGGGACAAACAATTATTTAAGAGAATTGCACCTGTTGGGTTAGGTGTTCGATTTTATAAGTTGTTAAATGATAGCAAAGAGAGTGTAGCAATTCTAAAAATAGAATTTTGGACAGAGCACATTAAGAATACAATTAAAAGTCTGGCACATTCAACAACAGACAGTATCCAGTGTCTCTAGTGCAGGTGCACCAGGAAAGGGTTCTAAGGTTAGCCACAATCTGGGAACCAGAAGGCCAGGCACTGCTGTGCTGGCACACGGACGCTGCATGTGGGAACTGGGTTAGGGCATCTCTGAGACTGCTGGGTTCAATCTCTCCAGGACTCTGGAGTTGGAAGCCCAGTGCTGGGACAGAGGGTCCAACAGGTACATTCCTCAAGCCAGAGCTGAAGCCCAGCATGAACCCACCAGACCCTCTAGATAGCTTCTCTATGGGCATTACACTTGTGACTAGGTGGGTGTAGACAAGGTCATGGAAAAGGTCAATCCAGAACAATATCCTTACTTCTGACACATTGTCTCTTTGTCTGTGTTACTATGAAACTAGGCCCTTCAGCAATTACTCTTTATGGACCCATTTACATGAAGAAACAAGTGCTTTTTATGTGTAAAGAAAACATGGAGAGTGGAGAGACTACTCGGTGATTAAAGTGTGTGCCGCTTTTCCAGAGGACCTGAGTTCAGTTCCCAGCACCCATAGTGGGGGCTCACAATGTCCTTTAACTCTGGCTCCAGGGAATAGAGGTTTGGGACATATCATGTCTCTTCCAAGGGATGCTTCTGGAGCTAGTGAACCATGAGGGTGCTTAGGACCTAGGTAGGAAGGACCAGAAACAAAAGGGACTATCACAGCCTATGGGTAAATAATGGCTCCCTAGCTGGAGCCATGAACACCTCAGTACCTTCCATACAAACAAAACCAAACTAAGGAGAGCAAGAAATGAACTTCTGGGTGTGGGCCAGAGTGGACTAAAACTGGCAGGCAAGTAAGGATGCTAAGTGGATGAGAAAGATTGGTCCATCAGTGGTGGAATGGAATCTTCCAGTCAGATTCAGAACAATTACTCCTGGCTAGATGTTTGGGAAATGGCTATTTCATAGGAAAGTGGTTTTTCACTCCTGTTTCTGACTACCATTAAAAATGTTTCAATTTCCATTTCAATGGCCCAGTTGATCATTAAATGGCACAGAGGAAGAACACAGTAAACACTGAATGTCTTTATAACATTGAGCAAATGCCACTAGAATTCCACACAGCTGTTCCCAGACCACAGTAGGCATCCTTGGTGTTAGAAGATTGTAACATGCATCTTCCTCATTCAATGTCTCAATCAGTTTTCTGTATTAAAGTGTCCAAGGAATTCAACTTAAAGAAGGAAACATTTCTTTTGATTTATCATTTTGGAGGCTTTGCTGTATAATTGCTTGGCACCATCACTACGGGCCTATGGCAAAACAGGGAACAAAAGCTGGCAACTCCTGGTAGGCAGGCACAGCAAAAGAGAACAGAAGGAAGGGGCAAGAACAAAACACGCCATTCAAAACCATGTTCCCAGTGACCTGCTTCCAGCTCCACCCACATCATGACAGGTGCCCCACCTCCAAAAATACCCAAGCCTTCAGCACAGCCTTGGGTGACATTTCATATCCAAACTATAGCATCTCACTCACTCCTGCTCTGAGAGGCTCAGGCATAATATAATCTGTGTCCAGGAAGCTTCATGTTAACAGTTCCGTTACTGTGGAAAGTCCAGAGTCTAAAACAAGACTCCCAGCTTTGAGTCCATACAAATAAAAATCCATTTGCATCCAGGCAATGGTGACTCACACCTTTGATCCCAGCACTCGGAAGGCAGAGGCAGGCGGATCTCTGTGAGTCCGAGGCCAGGATGATCTACCGAGCAAGTGCGAGGATAACCAGGGCTACACAGAGAAACCCCGTCTCGAAAAACAAAAACAACAACAAAAAATCCATTTGCATACTTTCAGCACAAATTGGCATAGAATAAAGGTTTCCATTCCAAAGGAGGGCATTGGCAGTGGGGGTGTATCAAAGGGAAGAAGAACAAAGCAAAACCAAACCCAGCAAGACAAATATCCAGGCCTAGCATCTGAGGCATGTGCTGGTAGATGGTACCTCCACAGGAATGTGGGGGTGTTGTCACTATGTCCCTGGAGCTTCAACCCACCAGGCTACCCCTAGGTTCACTCTGCTCATGGCTGGTACCTTCCCTCAGCATGTTCCCACATCTCTTAACTCCCCGGGGTCTCCACTGTACCCCAGTTTCTCTCTCAGAGCTCCATTGTTGTCCTCTCAGAGGCTCCTTTGCCGTACAACACATGGCCTCCAAGCCTTCCTGTGACATCTGGGTGAAAGTTTTTATGATCAGCTCTTGGATTTTGCATATCCATAAAACTAGTGTCCTGAGTGATACCAAAGTCTGCCAGCAGCTCAAGCAGTCAGTGTGCCCACTCAGTTCCTGTGTGTCTGAGACTGAAGTGACTCAGTGCCAACCCTGGTCAGTCCCACGTGAGCTGGGTTCTCAGAATTCACCCCTCAAAGCAAAGCCTTTCCAAACAAATGTGTGCTTTCACAAGCCTTGAGACTGACAGGTGGCATCTGGCCAATTCCAGAGGGGCCTCAGAGCATGCTCCCCATTGTCCTAGCCCAAAGTTCCTGGTTTCTTTTCACTTATGCTAATCTCTTCAGCAACACCACCTTCCTTGGCCCCAATTTTCTGTCTAAGCTGTAAAATCAAATCTTTCCTCTCTGCACTTTGCTTTCCATTTTCATTATAAACCTGGCCAGTGTTCTAGTAGCTAAGAATGCCCATACAACATCATGAATGATTGGAATGACTGCTCCACCAGATCAATGAGTTCTTCATCACAAGGTAATATGAATGACCTCTAGAACAATTCCCAGTGGAGCCCTCGTGATGGCCACGCCTTTTAAAACCCATTTCCTGTTAGCCTTCCATGGCTATAAGAAAATAATCCAGGCTGGAGAGATAGCTCAGAGGTTAAGAGCACTGACTGCTCTTCCAAAGGTCCTGAGTTCAATTCCCAGCAACCACATGGTGGCTCACAACCATCCGTTATGAGATCTGGTGCCTGTCTTCTGGTGTGCAGATATACATGGAAGCAGAATGTTGTATACATAATAAATAAATAAATAATCTTTAAAAAAAGAAGAAAAGAAAATAATCCAAGGCAAAAAATGGAATGGAGGAAAGATTTACTTTGCTCACAGCCTCAGGGATGCTTATGCTTGGTCACTAGGCTCCATTACTGTGGACCTGAAAGAAAGCCAAATGCTAGGGCAGTGGGAACATGTGGCCGAGGATACTAATGGCTTCACAACAGCCAGGAAGCAGAAGAGCAAGGGGGAACTCCATTTCTGCATGTGTCTATGGCTGCATAAAGGGTGGCTCTTGACAGACCCCTCAGGTCTCTCAGGACTAGTCCAGGAGGATTGCTGCCTGAACATGTGTGGAATTGGATGAGCACCTTCTGAGTCATGTCTATATTCCCCTGACTCCTGACACAGTGCTTGCAGCTCACATGAGGCAGCCCTGGGATGCTCACCCTTCTCTCCATCCTTTGTACTGTGTAGGTGAAAGTCCTCATTCCAGAAGTTCTTTTCCAAGCAGTACGTGGTGCACCCTGAAGGAAACATGGTCTCTGTGCTAAGACCCCTGCTGGACACTATGGAGATAGCAATGCCTTTTAAACTGCCTGTGCTCAGAAGTTAGCTTGCATGATAGATAAGGAGCTATGAAAAGAGCTTTCTGTCACCAAAAGATGTTATAGGTATGTGTGTGTGTGTGTGTGTGTGTGTGTGTGTGTGTGTGTGTGTGTGTGTGTGTGTTCCTATATTCCAGCAGGCCAATATCTCACATTGTATCCAGGTAAGGCTTATTCCTGACAG